TTCTTATGTTCTTATGTTAAGAAAGATGACAGAACTCTGCAAAAGACATCAGTGGAATTGTTCATGCAAAAATGGGCCTGGTTAAAAAACATAGATAGGAGGTACTTGAAAAAGTTGGAGGATATTAAGAAGAAGGCACAAAAACACAGAAGGTATATACAGGAAGAACTGTATAGGAAGAATCCCAACATCACTGATAAGATGCCATTGTCATATGTCTCAAGCTAGACATCTTGAAGAATGAACGAGCCCATTAGAATTCTTGCTAATAGCATGACTGTAGCAGCTGAGAAAATCAGAGCTGAATCATTTAAAACTCATTTTAATGAATTTGGCCAAGAAACATCACAGTGTTTCTTGAACTAAAAAAGGTCAATAAATTTTTAGATTCTAATGCACATGCAAAAGAGTGCTGAAATTGCACTCAATCACACTTATTTTTAATGCTAGCAAGGTAACAACTACAGTCCTCCAAGCTAAACTCAAGCAATATATATGGACTGAACTGCTAGATGTACAAGCACATTTTATAAAAGGCAGAGGATCAAATGTAGCTCATCATGTAGAGCATTACACTAACACCACCAAGGTTTTGGGTTTTAATCCTGCAGAACATACATAAATTAACTCTTCCCTCCACTGTAAGTTGCTTTTGATAAAAGTAAATGCAAATTTCCAACATTCCCTGTATAATCTAGAAAGGTAGTTCCAGAAAAAAACACCTACTTCTGCTTCATACATTGCCTGCTCTGAAGCCTTTGACTTTGCGACATAAGAAATATTAAACAACCTCAGAAACAGGAAAAATACTATATTCTGATGGCTGAAAGTGAGAAAATGCTAAAGTACCTGTTCATGATGCTGAAATAAAAATTGGATCACCGCTCAACATAAGTTTGTTATGTGGCCTCAGAGAGTAAAAAAATAATAATAATAAAATCACATCAACGAGTTTGTGTGATCACCTATAACACAGATCTGTGAAAGCTGGGCTATCAGTAAAGATGAACATCACAAAATAGACACTTTGTGGCAAATGTTGTGAGTACCTTAATTCGATCTTCATGCGGTCTAAGTTAATACTCAAAGTAACAAACCCAGACTGTTCACTGGAAGATTCGATAGTAAAACTCAAACTAAATTATTTTAGTCACATAATGCAAAGTGAGATCTGGAAGCAGCTGTTGACAGATAGGGAAAGTATGCTAAAGTCCACAAAGTCACCCTGAGTAAGATGTGGAAGAATGGTACTGGGGTAAGGGGAGTTATAGGACTAATGTTTTGTCTTTGCCACAGCTGACTATTGAACTATCTTTGAACTGCTTTAGTGTGAATGCTGTTGCATTCTGGGATTGTGGTTAGGCCTTAGGCAAGAAGGTGTTATGACATTTGGAGATGTAGGAACAACACTTTGGGCACTTTTCCACCACACCAAATACTGTACTTTTGGTACGATACTTTCATTTTTCCATTGATTTCTGGTTGAGTACCAGTACCAAAAATTCCAGTACTGAAAGTGCCAAACTAGCTTGGGTACTACTTTGGTACTACGGTACTTTGTGGTGGGACTTGAAATGCTTTCTTTGGTAACTGGTTATGCAAATATCCTGCCGCTGAAACCCAATACAATCAATTGCAAACTCAGAAAATGTTAAAGTAAAAAAAATAATAATAATAATAATAATAATTGCAATTTGGACTTTAACCCGCACACTATAATGTCCATATGGAATTGAAAGTAATAAAGAAAACACCTTATTTTGATTAGTAATGTAAAAATTGCATGTGCATAACATGTAGTGTTATTAATATTACACATCATCCAGCTGTAAAATATACACCAGTCAAGGAAGAGGAAATGTATCTACTGGGCTTGTGAGGGAAGGCTGTCATGATAGCAGTGAACAGCATATGAGCAACTGGGAGGGGGAACCCTGCTGTTATCCTGTTTGTCATAATTTGAGCTAATAATATGAAGCACTTGCTGTCATTATAGGGAATGACAGGTATATCACAGTACAAATAAATCACTGTCAGTACAAACAACATGTAATGATAGAACAAGGGCCCTAGGTGTGAATTTGGAAAGGGGGGAAGGGGAAAGGTCTGGTCCATTTTTGCCTCAGGGCCCAGTGCACAGCTGTTCCACCACTGCTTTAGTGTGAAGTAAATTCAGACAGATGGTGCTCCCATGTATCAGAAAAGTAAAGAACAGTGAAAGCCAGTAGGGTGGGAAATGTAAAGAGGCTCCAGAAAGACTAGGTAAACACAGCCTGATTGGGCGAGAGTTGGCTCTGGTAGCACGAGTATGAGGAATCCATGAGCAACAACACTACAGCAACCATCATAAATTCATTAAAAATTGAGCCAATACTTTAAACAATAGTTCAAATTGAAGATTCTCATTTTTCTTGTCATTTTTGTTCCTGCGTTTATGTTAGTAAAATATATAGCAACACTACAGGCAATCCCTGGAATAACATCTGACTTATGAATAACTCGTGCTTACGAATGGACTGCCTATTACATAAAAATGTTAAAATATTAATAGGATAGCCTATTATATAAAAATTCAGCTTAAATACAATGACTTACAACACACTACATTGTGAAACCCATGAAAACATTGCACAGCTTTAGCAATTTGTGGGCACCGTACGTAGTTACTTTAATTTTTATTATTATGTACAGTCAGTCCTGCTACAACATGACAATGTGTTCCTGAAAAACTTCATATTCACTAAAATTGTGTACTAAAATACACAAATCTAATGGGGAAATATAGTGTTAAAGGAATGCGACTCCCAAACTTAGTAACTTATGCCAAACAAAAATAATTCATGAAAAGTCATACTAGCGGCCAATAACGTAATTATATGCATTTTAAATATGCATTTAATAATAATATATTAATACATACCATAAACATCTATGAGTCTAATGAGTCTCAAGAGAATTGCCTAGTAACGCCTTAGTCCCGTCTCCTCTAGAAATGACTAGTGGAGGCTGGACTAAGATATCTGATTGGTTGGTCCCATCTCCTCTAGTTCCTTGAATTGACCTCCTCCACTGTCTGATTGGTCATGTTTCTGAACCAATCGTTTTTACTTCTGCCCTCAGAATATTTTTGTCTAAGTAAAACTCCCATGAGTGTTTTTAAAGGCAAGTAATGTTTCATGCTAAGAACATATGGCATTGTAGTTCACGTAGTGTTTTTTTCTCTGACTGATAAACACGCAAATACAAATGCAATTCTGCATTGTACTGGACTTGGGTATCAATACATTACATGCATTGCGTTGGGATACGATGCATTGTAGCTTGACTGACTGTACTGTATTATTGTTGTTCCACTTCAAATTCGGCTTAAAGACAGACTTATGGAACAGACCTTCTTCATAACCTGGGAACTGTTACTGCTATTATACACTTCTACACTGTGAACTCATGCTGCTACATGATGGTGAACTCCTGTCAAACTTGCTACCTCCGATTACATGAAACAACATATTTAATATAATTAACAATATTGAACATTAGAAGCTTCTGCACAATGTACACTGTACCCAGACACATCTGGTCATAACAAACATGGCCAAATCATTTAAGTGTCTCTGCGTATTATTAGTTTATTAATTTATTATTGTTGTTGCTGTCATTATGGTGGTTACCTTTACATTGCCGAGCACTTCTTAAAATTGCACTGTGTCCTTTGTACTTTTTTTTATTGCACTAAATTTATATTTACACTGTGGTCACTTTATCTCTCTGTATACCTGTGTATGGTGGAGATGACAAAATTCACTTTGATTCGTTTTAAAATGTTAAAGTACGGCTTACAGGTAACACAATGTGTAACATTTTGTGGTGAATTGATAAAATAATTTATTCAGGTGGATCACATACTTATTGGCCTGGATTTGAATCCTGGTCCAGTACAGGGGCTTCATGGGCTGAGTTGGCTCCACCACTGGCTTTCTGGGGACATACTCCACCAAATGATTGGAGGAATGATCTGCACCAGGAAGCTCAGACACAGGTGGAGAGGATGTTAAACCTAAGGTGGGAAGTGGAGGGGGTGGTGGTGGCACAAATTCAAAAGAAGATGGGTGCCCTGCATCTGGGCAAGCTCCAGAAGAGGGTGGTGGAGGTGGTAAGGGTAGGGGGGGACAGATGGAATTTGGCAACAGTGACTGAGAAGATGATGCTGATGCAGAAGGTGATAACAGATCTACAGCATACTCATCCTTTCTCTGCAGGCTTTCTCTGATGGAAATATGGCTGAGTTTCTTCGGACTTTGAGATGTACTGGAATTTTCATATTCTGGGTTTGGGGTAAAATCTCCCGGTTCAGTCTGTATCAACACGTTGTGGAAAGTCTTGGGCTGAAAGCTGTCCCGTGTCAACATAACCACCTCCCGCATCTCTCTGTCTTTGAGTGTGTTTATGGCCAACCTTGCCTGCAGCTCTGTAATGGTCTCCATCAGCCGTGACTTTGAGTCTGCATGTTCCTCTTGCAGCTGTGACCTTTGCAGCTCATAGCCAGCCTATATGGGACCGCAGAGAAACAAGCACATTTTACAAACAACATTCTTTAGACCAGTGTTCAACATCATGCTCTTTGTTTTTTATTTTAATAACTGTCACATCCACTTGGCTCAGGGCAATTTGCAAAGAGGTCAGCAGTAAGAGGCAAAACAAGAGTATGATGCAAAATCAGTAGGCAGCAAAGGGAAGTCAACCCATGAATGGCAAGTAGCACAAGGCCTAAGCAAAGCCCTCCTTTATCCTGCTTTCCAATGGCTCTTTTGTCTTCCTTCGCAGCAGCCCTTAATCAGTCAACAGGCCACACCTATGAGTGGTACCTCCACAACTCTACCTGCAAGCAATTAGATGGAAAACAAGGGAGAAGGAACAAACAAAACAGGACAGGGTAGTGAGGCTGGTAGAGGCTGATGTGGGGGAGGTGTGAGCCTAAGGAAAGAGGCTCAAAGACATGAGACTCTAAACTCCCCATGACAGACAAACCACCAAATTTATGGTCAAAAGGCACAAAATCACAACAACCATGTACATACTGTACTGCTTGAGAAAACAAACAGCTAGGAAGCAAATTTAAGGATAGAAGAGGTAGAGAAGACAACGGAAGAGAAACGGACACACAAAATCACTGACTCACCTGGAGTGCGAGATAAGGTGTCAGCCATGACATTCTCCACACCCCGAATGTGATGAATAGAGAGTTTAAAAGGCTACAGAAATAATGCCTAACGCATAAGACGTTGATTGGCATTAGTCAGGAATGTGAGGGGGTTATGATCAGAGTAGACTACCACTGGATACATACCCCCAGCGACATACATCAAAGTGGTGTAGAGCCCAGATCAATGCCAAGGCCTCCTTTTCAATGACCAAACAGTTTAACTGATATTTATTAAACTTACGAAACAGCACAAAGGCCAATCCATATGATTGTTGCATATGATTGCCTACCTGGCTTGCATCAACCTGTAGTGGGAAAAGCTCAATCAATTTTGGTGTAGCCAGCACAGGTTCAGAACTCAGCTGCAGCTTAGCATTCTCAAAAGCTTCCTGGCACTCAGGAGACCATTCAAATTTAACTATATTCTGGTGCAAATTTGTCAGAGAGGAAACCACTGGGGAGAAGTTGCAACAAAAATTCTAGTAATACCCAAAATCCCAAATCCTTAGCTCTCACCTGCCATACCTGACCTTGCCCAACTACATTGCCCAAATAGACAATAGAAGCCCAAGCACACTCACATTTTGCAAGATTGATTGTGAGATTTGCTGCCAACAATCTCTAAAACAGTGTAAGAATGCAAAGGTGATGTATCCAGGTGTCACTATATACCACCACATCAAGGTAAACTACGCACCCCTTCAATCCTGCAACAATACGATTAATAAGCTGCTGAAATATTGTAGGGGCATTCCATAAACCGAAGCTCATCTTATTATAGGAAGAGACCGGATAGTGTTATGAATGCAGAGACCTCGAGTGCGTGGTGTGAGCGGAACCTGATCAAATCTTATTTACTGAAAGGATATTCTTACAAAATGTGCAGGACCAACCTGCTCCACACAGTCTTCAATTCTGGGTAAAGGAAACAAGTCAGGCTTCATCACCATATTAACTTTGCTATTATCCGTGCAAAACCAAAATTAAACGCAGTAGTAGTTTTCATTGTACTTAATGAATGCAGCGTTCCATTTCCTATGTGTCAGATTAATTATTTAATATGTCATAACTCCAGATCAAACATAAGCACAATGAGAACATGGGAACAGGTTAAAGTGAAATACAAGAATATACTTCAAACTGGTAAATATTGCACTCACCTAAAGGATTATTAGGAACACCATACTAATACGGTGTTTGACCCCCTTTCGCCTTCAGAACTGCCTTAATTCTACGTGGCATTGATTCAACAAGGTGCTGAAAGCATTCTTTAGAAATGTTGGCCCATATTGATAGGATAGCATCTTGCAGTTGATGGAGATTTGTGGGATGCACATCCAGGGCACGAAGCTCCCGTTCCACCACATCCCAAGGATGCTCTATTGGGTTGAGATCTGGTGACTGTGGGGGCCATTTTAGTACAGTGAACTCATTGTCATGTTCAAGAAACCAATTTGAAATGATTCGAGCTTTGTGACATGGTGCATTATCCTGCTGGAAGTAGCCATCAGAGGATGGGTACATGGTGGTCATAAAGGGATGGACATGGTCAGAAGCAATGCTCAGGTAGGCCGTGGCATTTAAACGATGCCCAATTGGCACTAAGGGGCCTAAAGTGTGCCAAGAAAACATCCCCCACACCACTACACCACCACCACCAGCCTGCACAGTGGTAACAAGGCATGATGGATCCATGTTCTCATTCTGTTTACGCCAAATTCTGACTACCATTTGAATGTCTCAACAGAAATCGAGACTCATCAGACCAGGCAACATTTTTCCAGTCTTCAACTGTCCAATTTTGGTGAGCTCGTGCAAATTGTAGCCTCTTTTTCCTTTTTGTAATGGAGATGAGTGGTACCCGGTCGGGTCTTCTGCTGTTGTAGCCCATCCGCCTCAAGGTTGTGCGTGTTGTGGCTTCACAAATGCTTTGCTGCATACCTCGGTTGTAACGAGTGGTTATTTCAGTCAAAGTTGCTCTTCCATCAGCTTGAATCGGCCCATTCTCCTCTGACCTCTAGCATCAACAAGGCATTTTCGCCCACAGGACTGCCGTATACTGGATGTTTTTCCCTTTGCACACCATTCTTTGTAAACCCTAGAAATGGTTGTGCGTGAAAATCCCAGTAACTGAGCAGATTGTGAAATACTCAGACCGGCCCGTCTGGCACCAACAACTATACCACGCTCATAATTGCTTAAATCACCTTTCTTTCCCATTCTGACATTCAGTTTGGAGTTCAGGAGATTGTCTTGACCAGGACCACACCCGTAAATGCATTGAAGCAACTGCCATGTGATTGGTTGATTAGATAATTGCATTAATAAGAAATTGAACAGGTGTTCCTAATAATCCTTTAGGTGAGTGTATGTGTGTGTGCGTGTGTGTGTGTATAATGTGTATAATATACACACACACATATATACGTAAATATACTTTGCCTAGTTTGACTTTGAATATAAGGTGCTAATAAATCTTTGAGGTACAGTACTCCCCCTCGGCTAAAGTGGTATCTTTCAAAAAGAATTTCCTCTGGGAGCAATACAGGATGTTGCCAATTGCGCAAAACCCTCTCTACATAAAATTCTTTTCTTATAATTTCTGCGCCGATATCAATTGGTCGCTCATTCATGAATGGGGAGGTCATGACTGAACAGATTTCCATGTACTGTACGGACACTGATTAAGTGTGTTAGTTAATCCTTGTTTACGTAGAACAAATCTGCTCTGAGCAGGTTTCAGGATTTGGATGTGCTGCTATGACAACACATCCAGCAAGAGTTTTGAAAAACTGACAGATCCAGGATCAATGCAAATAATCAACAATTACATTCGGCTAAACGAGTAATCCACGTACGATAAATTCCCCCCCAGCCTCCAAACTTTTCTGTTTATCCAGGGGCATCCAATAATACCTTTGCCTAATAGGTTGAACATCTCCCACATCAATATCTTGTTCTACTGGACTGGTGCAGGTTGGTGTATCTGAAAACAAAGAAAAACTCAAAAATTAAACACTAACTTCTCCCGTTGCTCCCCATCCAAATAACTCAAAAGGCTGTCTAGTTCAACCAAATTCTCTGAATTATTCAATCTGGCCTGTCACACTGCATCATCAGGATCCTGCACCCCATCATCAGCTGCCACCTGATTCTATGGAATCCATGAATCAGACAAGCACAAGTTAACCTTCTGAATTTCCACCATTACTAGATGAAGAAAAATATGGCTTAAGTAGGTTAACATGGCAGAGTTGAGCAGATCTTCCTCGCCCTGGAATAGATGCTAAATAATTGTGCTCTGAGACCTGCCAGACAGCTGAAAAATGGACCAGAGTATTTAGCACGAAAAAGTGACCCCAGAATGGGCAACAATGCCACCACCTGATCCCCAGGACTAAAAACTCTTTGCTCTGCTTCATGGTCATGGAGTTTCTTGATCTTCTCTTGAGCATTTGTTGGATTCCAACTTGCCATTTTCCAATCCAAACGACTTGAGGTGAAACCCATGTGTATAATCTGCTAAACTGTCAAGTGGCTTGGAATCATCCAAGTCACCCTTCAGCACTGACAGGGTTGTACGCACTTTGTGGCAAACAACTCGTTCGGGCTAAACCGTATACTGAAATGCAAGACTGCTCATGCTGCCAGCAGCAACCATGGTAGTGTCTCTTCCCAATCTCTATCCAACTCTACGGAATAAGCGTGCAGCAAGGATTTAAGTGTAGCATGAAAACGCTCCAGAGCCTCCTGGCTCTGTGCATGATAAGCACTAAACTTATGTTTAAATGTGCAACTGCTCAAGCACCTCAGCAAAAGAACAAGATGTGAAATTTGATCCTCTGTCACTCCAGATCACTTTAGGAATACCAAATATGGAAACAAACTGTGTGAGTGCTTTCACAATCAACTTTGTTGTAATGGTTCTTAGCGCATAGCCAGTTGGATAGCGTGTAGCCTGACACACGACGGTGCCCGACTTTGACGGAGGTAATGGTCCTACAGTCAATCAGGTGTTCAAAAGGCCACAGATGGAAATGGCTGGAGAGGTGCAGGTTTAATCGTGGCATTTGGTTTCTTAGCAGTTTGACATGACTTAAACCTTGCCACTTCTCTTTTCATTCTTAGCTAATAAAATGGCTGTAACAGCCAATAAGTTCTTTTTTTTTTTTTTAATATTCCCTCCTCCACCCCCCCTCTGCGGGGGACTACTTTATCTGTATCTATTTATTTATTTATTTATTTTNTGTAATGATATGTAATGTTAATGTGTTTCACCACTAGGTGGCAGTATGACGTTGGTTAGAGGAAGTTGTAAAAAGAGGGTTTTGGTTAATAATAAAC